TGTCTGAACGCCAGCGCTTTCGATATGTGGGGCATGTTTCCGACAGGAGGCAACGAACGAATCAGGGAGAAGTAGGGGGGCGTATCCGAGCAGAGATAAGGATGGGAACTGCAGAGGCTATCTAACGTAATGCTCGCATTCGCTAACATAAACGTCGGCTTAATGACTACCTGCAAGTCGAAAGAATCTTTTCCTGATGGTGTGTTCGATCTGCACCGCGCACCACAGTTAGTGTTTTTGTTACCTTTACTCGGTGTGATATCACAGGTTAATATTGCTTTGCCACGGACCGAAATTGAGGGCAGGCTACTTAAGCAGTGAATTGTTTTCCTTTTTGCATGGAGAGGGGTACGCCAAATGTAGGAATGTTCCGTCAACAATAGTGGCTCGTTTTCTTACTGAAGCTTCACGACAAACCCTTACACGTTAGAATCCGGTGGTTAAAGAGAGAAATCTACAGTAGGAGGTGTGCCTGCGTTAAGTTTCATGTAATAGTCAAATCTTGTCAATTCTCCCATGTCATGCCCAAATAATTTCAGTTGCGATGGCGCTCGGCCAATCCTTATGCGAGATCCTATCAAGTGGTCTCATCTGACTAAAAAAATTTGTTTCCATATTGGTGACGAGGACGACTGGATTCTTTCTGACTCGATGACTGCGTGATCTACCAGGAGAGGCGACCCGCCCGTCTGCGCTCTGCTGTTCCAGTCTCTCCCACTACATCCTTGTCAGATTTGTCACCACGTTATGCCCCTGGACTGCTTTCGATGTGACCACTTCGTCTAAAATATTAATTCGCGAAGACGCCCACGTGAGTACTCCGCATCTGAAAGCAGTCGTTTCGCTTATTCTGGTGTGCTCACGCTAACTGCGCATATTGTCATGCCTGTTAAGGGCTTATCTGTTCGAATGTATGACATAGGCCTTCCGAAATTCCGCTGCGTCATCCTCAGCCCGTCGACGTTTGCCCGCGGTTTCGTTGAAAGAGAATTCAAAATGTTGACAGGCCACTACCCACAGTACATAGTAAGGCCGGCCACTTAGGCAGGTCGTTCATCCGATCTGGCATTGTTTTCTTCACTCTAATGTGAACAAGCAGGAACAAAGGTTTTTAGTTGCCACCTTCATAAAAAGAACT